CATTTCCTTTTGACATCGTTCGCATAGAGCTGTTCGAATAATGCAATTTTGTGGGCACTGAACCTTTATATTCTACTGTGCTTGAAGTTCTTAAAGCCCAATTTTCTCCTAGACTCTATCCCTCTATACTACGTAATTGAACCTAGGCAGGAAGCCCATCATTTTTTCAATCACATAACCCTTCAGTAATGGTCAAACCCGATTCTATCTTATATAACACGGGGAAAACTCATGGATCACGTGTCTGCATATCCTCTCTCTCAGAGCATTCCCTTTGTATGCTTGTGTGCATCACATAAAATCAGTAACCTTTGACTAGTTTAACTCAATTATCTTTTGAACAGTCGATAAGAAATAAATGTTTTCGTAAGGTTTGTGTACATATGTGGATAAACTTCAACACACTCCCCGGACTAGAGTCCCTTTTGATCCATTTGAAAGCTTTGATTTTTTTACTCTCTTTTAATATGTTCTTTTTTATTATCTGTGCAATTGTATTTTATTCCAACAAGAGAAAAGGATACAGATGAAATCTAAGTACATTTCTTCTTGCCATTGTCAGGCAGCTGCAATTAATTGCTTGACAGTAGCTCTTTCTGTTTCACCATCCTCTGTACATGTCAACAACTTACTTCTAGTGGAAGCTTCAACAGGTTAGTCTTTTGTGTTTTAATATACCATGCCACTTGTGTTGGGTGATAGGGTGGGAGTTTGCATGTTCTCGTTCTTTGGGATTGTGCTTCTTGTAAGTTTAGAGGTTTGGTGTGACTAAGATGGGAGAATACTGGCCATGTGCTTTATTGGCAATTTTAGTGCTTTTGGATGCAAAGGAAAGCAAAAAATTCCTGAGCAACAATCTTAACTCTTTAGAATTCTTGGCATATTTTTTGTCGAAGCCTTCCTGTCTATGAAACAACTTCTGTTCATATATGGAGATGGAATTACCTTTTTCATGGAGATTAACTTCACCTCTCTTGATTATATTTCTCTTTCTGATTTCGTTAATATTATACTCAGTGATCTAGAGTTTGACAGATTTATATGTACGGTAATTTGGTTTTCCAGGATTTCTTGATGGTCAACGGAAATTTGGAGTTTTATATACCTTATTTCATTATTCCAAACAGTTAACAAGCCCTTCAGTAAGCTTAGAAGCACTCCAGGTAACAGTTATGCTTCTGGAAAAATAAATTGACTTGCAGTATGTGGTCTATTTTTCGTGTATGGTATGTTGTGAGGTTGTCAGAATTGTAATTTTGGATTGGATCGGTGAAGTCTTGTAGTTCAGGTTGATGGATTGGATTGAGGATCATAAGATTCTAGTAAATATTAAAACATAGATAAGCGTTAAATATTCTTAATAACAATTTAAACTAAACTATAGAACCAAAGTTGCTACTACTTTACAAAGGTCCATAATTGGTTTTTGAAATGCCAAGAAAGCCAATAAAATTAGACTAACATGAACACTTCATTTAATGCTAAACCAATAGCTGAAATCAAATTATACTTCCTTTTTAGTTTATTAACAGGATTAAAATTTTAAGCCCTTGTTTGGGCTCCACTATTTCAAAAATTCATTTTTCACTCTCTTATTTTCAATCACACATTTTCCAATAAAATAATATTGGGTAAATAGCACAAAACATCCCTACCTTTCAATGTCATTGTGCAAAACGTCCCTACCTTTCATTTTTTGGCATTTTCATCCATACCTTCCACATTTCATTGCACAAAAAGTCATTTTCAACCATTTTTTCAATAAAATGACGATTTTACTCTCCTATTCAAATGAAACAAAAAGAAAAGAAAAGAAAAAATAAACAACTAATTGCA